CTTGTAATCTCAGCAACTTGGTAGGCTGAGGCAGGAGGATTGCAAGTTCAAAGCCAGCCTCAGCAACTTAGCAAGGCCCTAAGCAACTTAGCAAGAACCTGTTTCAAAATAAAAAGGGCTGGGGATGAGGCTCAGTGGTTGAGCATCTCTGGGTTCAGTCCCCAGTATCAAAACCAAAACAAAAAATATCACCACCACCAATAACAAAAAAAAAAAAAAACCAAACTTTTAAAATGTTTTGCAAATTAATAAAGTCAGTGATTTCTGGATTCTGCAGTTGCTGCCTTGGCTCCTCCCCATCCCTATTCTCCCATCCCCAACATTAGTGTAGAAATGTGCCAAAAATATCGGAGTTTCTTCCCATTAGTTTTCTGTTTTGACCCCTGGTGGAGTAAGTATGGAGTTGTTACTTCCATTTACAGAAGAGAAATCTGGGATGTGGCAAAGCTGAGTGACTTGTTGGTCACGCAGTTAGTTGCTGATAAATTCAGGATAAGAATCTAGGGCTTCTGAACACTAGTGACTTGTTAATTTGCAATACTAATCCACCCCCAGTGCTTGCCTTTAACCTACCTGCCCTTGGGAAGGTCTTGCCATCAAGACTCAGGGACTTTGTTGTCTCTCTCTGTGGCTCCACCTCTGAAAGCACAAATGAGCAGAGCAGCCAGTTACCTAGCTGGTGAGGTGAGCTGTAAAGGGAGGCGGTGTAGAGGTGGAGGAGGAAGGAAGGTGGTGCAAGGTGCAGACTTATGTTTTCTTCCTAAAGAATTGCTAAAGAATTCCACTCACTTTCCCCCCCGCGCACAAAAGGCAGAAAAGTGAGTGGAATCAACATTCCTTTTTCCTTGCCAAAAGGAGTAAATTTTCTGGGTGTCTTTGGCGGATGGTATTAGTTGCAGTGCAGAGTTAACCTGCCTCTAGTTCCTCAGCAGATTGTGCAGCAGACAGGGTTGTATCTGAGATAAAGGGCCCCTCACCGAGGTAGACCATCATGTGAGATTGAGCCCTAGTGTGTTAAACACCACATGCTGGGATTCTTTCCTCTGTTTGTGAGTTGCCTCCTTTGAAAGTATTGAGCATTTTGAAGAGGCATCATGGTTAAGGTTAAGGATTCTTTGTAGGTTTGATCCCTGGCTGTGCCACTTACTAGCTGTGTGACCTTGAGCAGTTTATTTCTGTTTGTTCATCTGTTCTAATTGTAGGGTGTGGATTAAGTGAGGTAATAAATATAAAGCATTTAGAAGGGTACAGTATTGTGAGCAGAGTGAGTCTCCTTTCTGTAGCCTTTCTGCTCTCCTTCATGCACCGTGTGTGTGTGTGTGTGTGTGTGTGTGTGTGTGTGTGTGTGTTTTCACGTGCATGCATGATGGTAGTTTTTGGATTCTGCATTTCCAGCTGGGCTGCTGAGCCCTCCAGGCAGCTGTAACATCATCCAAGTTTTAGCTATGGGGTCTGTCTGCATTGGATATGTTTTTAAATGACATCATCAAGGAGCTGCTTTGTGGAGAGAAAGGAAACCGAGCGAAACCGAGCGTGTGCAAGCTGTGTACTCACAGCCCCATGTGCACCGGGTCCCTCCACCTTAGGGGCTGAAGCACTGTGAGACTTAGTCAAACCTAAAATTTTATTTTATTTTTTGGTACAGAGATTGAACCCAGGGTGCTTAAGCACTGAGCCACATTCTCAGCCCTTTTTATATTTTATTTAGAAACAGAGTATTGATAAGTTGCTTGGTGCCTGGCTAAGTTGCTGAGGCTGGCTTTGAACTAGCCATCCTCCTGCCTCACCCTCCTAAACCATTAGGATTACAAGCACGCTTCACCATGCCTGGCTAAAACCTAAAAATTGTTTTATAAAATATTTATTTTTTAGTTTTAGGTGGACACAATATATTTATTTTGTTTTTATGTGGTGCTGAAGATTGAACCCAGTGCCTCATGTATGCTAGGCGAGCACTCCACCCCTGAGCTACATACAACCCCAGCCCTAAAACCTAAAATTTTAGCGGGGTGAGAATACTGACCAGCAGTCTTAGTCTGCTCGTCTGCTGTAACACAACAACACTGGTGACTTAAAGGGACATCTATTTTCTCTCAGTTCTGGAGGTTGGCAGTCTGAGGTCAGGATGTCGGCACAGTTGGGCTTCCTGGTTTGCAGAGGGCTGTGTGCTTTTGTCCGTATATGTGTTAGGAGGAAGGCGGAATAGATTTCTCTTCTTCTCAGGCCACCAATTCTGTCTGATTAGGATCCCACCCTTAGAACCTATTTAACCTTAATCACCTCTGAAAATCCTGTCTCCGATCAGTTGGAGTTTAGGGTTCTACATAGGAATTTGGGGGAGGGGTGCCCAATTCAGCCCGTAGCACCAGCCTTCCTCCCTCCAGAGATATCCAACGAGGAAAGTCGGTGACATCACCCTATGTCTTCTTTGGCCCCACACACTGTTATTTGTGAAGCGGCATTGGACCTCCCCATACGTGGGGAGGCCCCTGTCTCCTAGCCTTCTTGAGGTTTGGGATGGTGGGTGTGATAGAAGAGGAGAAGGTTATGCTGACTTCTGCCTCCAAGCTCAGAACTGGTGTGTACGTGGGGGGCACCAGCATTCAGATGTGTCATAGGCCTGTCTTGTCACCTTTGTCACTTGTGTCATCTGTTTAGACTGGGGAGTGAAATCAAATGAAACAGTGGAAGCTGTCTTTACCAACTCACAGGAGTAATGAACACTCTTCAATTCTCTGTGTAAAACATACAGAGCGAGGCCCACAGCCTACTGTGTGCGACTAGCAGGCTGCTCTCTGCAGAGCCCACTCGCTCAGCACCCACTGGCTGAAGTATGTGCTTACCAAGAGCCAGCTTGTTCCCAAGCCATTTGCACAGTTCTAGCTGGCATTGAAGCTAAGTAATGTAGTTAAGTACCAGATAACTGATGAAATATGACTGCAAATGAACTGATTTTCTTTCCTTTCTTTAAATACTAGTTAAAAGCCATGGAAAGATTCAGTAAGGCCAAGTCCCTGAAATATGTTATTGTCAAATTAGATGAGCAGTAAGTTTGGGGAAAATCAAAAGATCCTAAAATTTTATGTTGTGATTATTTTGTCTTCATTTTTACTTCATTTTATAGAATCAGGATTTGGACATCATAAATAGTATATTACATTCTGGTTCATGTAAGAAAGATGATGTGGAATTCTTAGCAGTGGACCCTTATTCAAAGGGCCTTGGACTGTGTTAAAGGCTGAATGATGAATATGGATTTACATCCATTATACTAAAATAAAATTTTTAGGTCTATTATTTTTGTGGATATCTTGCTGTAACTTTTCTGATTTGTCTGGTTCTGGGACCTGATTACAGTGGATCTGAAGGTTCTTACTGTTGTGATTCAGTTTACAGTGGGTTTGTTTTCAGTTGAGAAGATTTAAGGAATTTTATTTTGTCTATGGTGTAAACTTAATAAAACCAACATTATTGGGGCTTTTTTTTTTTTTTTTTTTTTTTGATACCAGGGATTTAAACCAGGGACACTTACCTACTAAGTCACATCCTCAGCCCTTTTTATTTTTTCTTTTGCAACAGGGCCTCACTAAGTTGCTAAGGCTGGCCTCAAATTTGTGATCCTCCTGCCTCAGTCTCCTGAGTTGCTGGGATTATAGGCTTGTGCCAATACACCCAACTTAGTGGGGCTTTTTAAACTGGGACTTTAAAAAAATTTAATGTGGCTCATTCTCAATTTTATTCTTTGGTTCCTCTTGTATACTTAAAGCACACTAAGAGAGACCCAATTCTCTCATTTTACAAAGGAGGAAGCTGAAGCCCTGAGAGGTAAAGCATGCTGGTGGTGAAGTAGTTGTGGTGGCTGGAGTAGAGGTGGCAGATCCAAAGCAGGATGAACCCTGCCCTCCAGTCCCCTCCTCCAGTTCTCTGTCCCTGGCCTCAGATCTAGAGCTGTCCACGATGGGAGTCTTCCTCTGGGTGACTACTCTGGTGACAGTGTTGACCTGTGGATACCTTTTGGACAGGACCAATCTGGAGGCCTTGCAGAAGAAGCTGGAAGAGCTGGAGCTTGATGAGCAGCAGCGGAAGCGCCTTGAAGCCTTTCTGACCCAGAAGCAGAAGGTGGGAGAACTGAAAGATGATGACTTTGAGAAGATCAGCGAGCTGGGTGCAGGCAATGGCGGTGTGGTATTCAAGGTCTCCCACAAGCCGTCTGGCCTCGTCATGGCCAGAAAGGTGAGTTTACCAGGATAGATAGGTAATTGAATTATCTCAGGGAAGATCTGGAGGCCTGGGGACAAGTGTGGAAGGAAGTTGGATTTTTTTTTTTTTAAATACTTTATTTATTTATTTTTATGTGGTGCTGAGGATCAAACCTAGGTCCCCGCACATGCTAGGCAAGTGCTCTACTGCTGAGTCCCAGCCCCAGCCCCGGAAGATGGAATTTTTAACTTGTATTTTTTATGTTGTTTGAATCTTGAACTCATCATCTATCAAGTGGTGGGTAAATGTGCTAGTGACTGTTAATGTATTAATTCCCATCCTCAGTCTGGGAAATAATAGTAAGTGACCCTAACTTAGCTCTCTGTGTGCTGTGGAAGGGGTACCAGGTGCCAGTTTATCATTTATCAAGTGTAGGAGCAGCTGCTTTTGTTCACCTGGGCCCAGAAATGCTCAGGCCAGACGCTGAGATCATGTTGTTTCCTGTGTTCCTACCCTGCCAGGGGCTGCCTTCGTCTCCCTGCAGTTAGCCTCAGATCCCTCCACGGTTGCATTCTTTGAGTTGGACTTCCCATTCCTGTCTCCCCTTGGTCATTTTTCTGAACACAGCCCCCATGTAGAGAGCTGGCCTCTTCCATGGTTTTCAGCTCATCGTGTTCATTCCTGCCCCCATGTTTGTGCTTGTGCTGTTCCTTTTTTTGGGAACTGGGGATTGGACCTGGGTACTTAACCACTGAGCCGCATCCCCACCCTACCCCACCCTTTATTAAAAAAAAAATTTACTTTTTAGTTTTAGGTGGACGCAATATCTTTATTTTACATCTGTGTTGTGCTGAGGATCAAACCCAGTGCCTCGTGCATGGTAGGCGAGTGCTCTACCACTGAGCCACAACCCCAGCACCCCCCACAGCCCTTTTTTTATATTTAACTTAAAGACAGGGTCTTGCTGAGTTGCTTTTAGGGCCTTGCTAAGTTACTGAGACTGGCTTTGGATTTGTGATCCTCCTTCCCCAGCCCCCGAGCTGCTGGGATTGCAGGTGTGCTGTTCCTTTCATTTTTTTCCAACAGTGCCTGTCCTCAGGAATCTCTAGCTGCTCCAACTCACAGTTATCGATAACCAACACTTCCATGTTCTTTGACCATTGTTTATGGCATTTTTTAGATACTCAACCTTATCAGTATTTTTTGTGGTGCTGGGGATTGAACCCATGGCTTCATGCAGGCTAGGCAAGTGTGATACCTCTGAGCTACATCCCCAGCCCTAGGTGACTATTGATTTGTCTGTTACTTGTCTCCCCAGTTAGAATAAGGACCAGTGTTAAGGGGACATAGAATAGTACCTGAGATTTTGGCTAACTCTCAACCACATGAGGCACCCGAGGTCAGGGAGGAACCTCTTGGGCATCTTGGGTCAGTATACCAAGTTCCTCATGCCCTTTTATCTTTCAACCTGAGTATGACCAAGTCCTTGAGGCCAGTTTCCCCTCAGATCTCAGCCCTACAGGTTCTTTTGGCATAAACTCTCCATTTAGATTTGTTCCCAAGCTTGGCTCCTGGAAGCAGAAGCACAGCTGGCTTTCTGGTTACAATTCTTTGGTGCCAGCACCCACCTTATACATAGACACTTAGTGGTTTGGTAGAACAGAAATTTGTGCTTCTATTGACCTTATATTTAAACATTTAAGAAGAAAGATCCCTCCCTCTCATAAAAACCTCTCTTTCCCCGACCTTTCTTTCCCCAGCTAATTCACCTGGAGATCAAACCTGCAATCCGGAACCAGATCATCAGGGAGCTGCAGGTTCTGCATGAATGCAACTCCCCATACATCGTGGGCTTTTATGGCGCATTCTATAGTGACGGGGAGATCAGCATCTGCATGGAGCACATGGTATGTAGTGACCTGCTGGTCCCTGGAGCAGCAGCCTGAAAATTGGCGATTCTGACCTAATCTTTGGTCAGGGAGGTGATCAGCTGCTTCCCTATGATACCCTGTGTCACACCACCATCTTGAGCATCTGGGTAGCTTGATTGTAGAACTTGGCAAATTCATAGGATGACAAGCTTCCTTTCCTTGCCTCGCTTCAGAGAGATGATAGTAACCAGGATTCCCTGGTGGTGTGTCTGAAGCACATCTCCCAGTTTTCTCCTATCCAGATGACCCTAAGATTTTGATGTGGATAAAATATGGTTAATATAGTTTAAATCATTTATTGCGAATAATATTGTGTGCTGGGTACAAAGTTCTGGGATTATGAAGATGAGTGAAACAGTCTCTGCCTTCTGAGAAGTTATAATCTACTTTAAGGGGTTTGGACAAGGAGAGAAGTAATCCCACCCTATGCCCATTAGTGGAAGTTCAAGTAAGGGACAGGCTTATGGGCTCACAGGTATGAGTGTCAGTCTTTTTAGCTGCCTGGGGTCCCTTCAATTTCTAGTGAGTAACAATAGTAATGTTAATGCTAATAATGATAAATTAATTTTTATATGGTAAATATTATATCAAGCATTATTATTATTATTTTTTGGTACCAGCGATTGAACTCAAGGGGTGCTCAATATCCCTAAGTTCAGTGAGCCACTTCCCCATCCTTGAGCCACATCCCCAACCCTTTTTTATATTTTGTTTACAGACAGGGTCTTACTGAGTTGCTTAGTGCTTTACTAAGTTGCTGTGGCTGGCTTTGAACTTGCGATCCTCCTGCTTCAGCCTCCTGAGCCACTGGGATCACAGGTGTGCACCACTGCGACCAGCCTCAAGCTTATCTTAAATTTTAAAAAAAGTGTTTTTTGGGTACTGGGGATTGAACCCAGGGGCGTTCTACCACTGAGCTACATCCCCAGCCCTTTTTGTTTTTTATTTTGAGACAGAGTCTCACTAAGTTGCTGAGGCTGGCCTCCAACTTTTCATCCTCCTGCCTTAGCTTCCCAACTTGGCAAGTCAATATTTTATTGCATTTTCACAGCAACCTTTGTGAGTGGGCATATTATCCCACCCAGTGAGGAGACCAGGGTACAGAGAAATTGATGAATCGCCCTAGATCATACAGCTAGTAAGTGGTGTTGGCAGAATTTAAGCCAAGGCAGTCTGACTCCAACTTGTACTTTATTGGATAGTGATGAGGGGATCAGGGCTATTTCCATCCTGGAAGCCTAGAATTTCCTAGAGATGCTGATGTCATCTTTTTTGCAGCATATGATAGGGGACTTTGGAATCTGACATATGTTTATCCACATCTCTTTTCTCCATGGAAATCCAAGTGGGGACTTTGTCATGTTTGCCACTGTCTTCAAAAAGCCTAGAATATTCCTGGCACATAGCAGGTGCTCAATATTTATTTGTTGAATGATTGTCACCTCTTTGTTATGATCTTGGACAGATTTCTTTATCTTGTTGATTCTCAGCTTTCTCATCTGTAAAAGGGCATTATTATAGCTGCTTTGTTTTGGTGAGGATTAATTAAAATAACAGATATAAGTCTTCCAGCACACTGACTCAGAGTATATATTCTGCAAATGTTAGCTTCGCTTTATTTCCATGGACTGACAATTTAGAAATGAAGGCTGACAGGAGTCTACATAGTTGATGGCTGCTGTGTTTTCAGTCCAGCCTGGTGTCCTTCTCCATTTCTTTCCTGACCCTCTAGAGCTGCCCTGACCTTTAGAACCAGATCCCTGGTGCCTGGTCTTAATGAACTCAAGGAGAATCCTTCCAGGCAGTTCTTATCTTGCTCGTGCCCCCATTATTTTGAACGTCTCTTCATTCTGATCAAAAGAAGGGCTGCATACACTGTTGTAGGCATCTGCCGACATTTGTGGGTACCATATGGAACATAGATCCTGAAAAATCTGTGCTTCTAAAGGTTATCAAGAATGCTCCCGTTCCTTTTTTGTTGCAACTAGAGTAAGACTCTGCGGGAGACATTTCTGGCTTGGTCCTTGAACCTGGCCCAGGATGCTGATTATTTTTCTCTTGGGTTCTTGTTTCATATCCCTTGGGTTTCTTTGCTCTTTGTGATGATGCTGAGTTTTCATCTCTAGCCTAAGAGCTTTAGATGATGATATATAAATGGCAGTGGAGGTCCTGGAAACCTAGAAGGAAAGGCCAGGGTGGCTTCTTTCCCTTAGGTCCTGCTAATGTTGTAGAAGGTGGGTGGTGGCATGACTAGGTATAACAGTAGCTAGCTTTGAATCTTTCACCACTTTCTAAGTCCCTTTCATATTATGTAAGTTATTAATCACATCAGCCCCAACTCAGGGGATAGATTATTGACCTCCCAGCTGCTAGTCAGAGAGTAAGCCTCAGACAGGTTTTGTAATGAGCTTATTCTCACAGTCAATAAGCATCAGAGACTCTGAGGAAGTCTGTTTTCTTTAAATTTCATATTCTCCCTGTTACTCTGTGTAAGTGTATACTCAGGATTTTGCATCTCTGAGAACTGATTGGATGGGATCTTTTCTAGGGCACCTCCCTGTGCTCACATCCTGTGTTTCTATGGTTTTTAGCACTTGTAACCAGTCAGGGGTTATGTAAGTAAATCAACTTGGGTTCACAAATTCTTTTTGGTGTTTATTATGTGTGTGATGCCACATGACCTGATCTGAGGACAGAGACATGAGAGAAGCATCTCTCGTCCTCCAGAGCTGTTCACAGGCTGTATGGCTGTGTTCTAGCACCTTCTCAAGTAGGAGATGTCAGTGCAGATGTAAAAGCTCCTGAGCACCATGTATGTCATTTCATGCCTGCTCAGTTCTTTCCTGGGTCATCTCCAAGTTCCATACCACTCAGATTTATTCCTTTATAGAGGAAAAAGGACACCATTTGGGGTGTGAGCATGATTGAATTCCAGGATGCTTGCTTCAGAAATAGGGTTAGGCTTAACCCCGAACATGGAGAGTGGCCTCTTCCTTTATTTAGATTTGTCAGTACCTCTTGTATGTCCTCCTGCCAGGAGGACCTGTTTTGAAATGATTGCTCTGGATTCAAAGTGCCAGAATAGCTTTCTGCTCCAGCTGTGGACCCCTCATCTTTTCCTCAGTCTCCAAGCAGTCCCTTGCAGCAGAGGCCTTGTTCCAGCTGCCCCTGACCAGAAAACTCTGCTCTGGCTGCCACTTCTCTTGGGATTTATGCTCGGCATTTATGCTTCAGCATTTTAGAAGTGGTGTCGTGGACTGGATGTGGTGACACATAACTGTAATCTCAGCAACTTGCAAGGCTGAGACAGGAGGACTGCAAGTTTGAGGCCAACCTCAGGAAATTAGGGAAACCTAGTCTCAAAAAGGGTTGGGGATGTAGCTCAATGATAAAGCATCCCTGGGTTCAACCCCCAGTATTAAAAAAAAGAAAAAAAGTGGTGTCACATCAGTGTATTATGAAAAATTTCAAGCATAACGAAAGTTAAAGGAATTGTACCCTGTATTCCCACAAACACACCACTTTGAGCCTACAACTAACATTTTGCTATATTTTTCTCACCACATATTGTCTGTTTACTGCTCAAATCAATTTTTTTCTGGATGCATTTAAAAATTAATTTGTATCATTAGCATTCATTGAGCCCTATCTTCTGAAGTGCTCAGCCAGGAGCTTACCTTTCCTGGAAATGAACTGTATTTGCACTGCCCAGTCTAAATTTTGAGACCCAAAGGGGCTGTGATGCTCTTGATCAGAACAGAAATGCTCTTGTCTTCAGGGAAGTAAATTCCTGCTCAAGTGGTAGCTGAGCAACCAGGGAACTGGGGACTCAGAATTGATGGTTCTCATGCAGGAGTAAAAGCTTTTGAGCTATTATTTTCATAAAGCGTTTGTCTCCTCTATAGAAAACCTTCACAAAAGTACCATTGACTTAGTTAATAATTGGCTTCTAAAAATAAGCACAGTTTCAGCAGCTCTAGTCAGTGAAGGCAAGTTCTTGGCAGTGAAGTAGAATTAGAAGGCTATAGGGTTAGTCGTAGGCAACTCTGGGTGCTCCTGATAGCTTATGCCTCTTACATCTTGCTAATACCATTGTTCTTCCTGTTATTCTGCTCATAGCTCAGGAGGTTAAAGGGAAGAGAGCCCATGTTTCTTCCTTTTTAATCAGTATTTTTTGGGTGGGAGATACTGGGAAGCTCATGTGCTACTGCTGAGGTATACTCCATCCCCAGCTTGATTAATAGAAATATTTACCTTACCAGTTCCCAGGGAAAGTTATACATTTTCAGTTAGCTAGGGCTGCTCTCTGTTCAGTTGAGACATAGTACTGTTCATTGCTAAATGGAGGAAGGAACCTGAAAACCACAGGGTTAACTTTTCCACCTCATTTGAATCCAGTTTTGGCAGTGGCTGTGTTATCTTGTTTTATTTATTTATTTGGGTACCAGGGATTAAACTCAGGGGAACTCGACCACTGAGCCACATCCCCAGTCCTGTTTTGTATTTTATTTAGAGACAGGGTCTCAGTGCATTGCTTATTGCCTTGCTTTTGCTGAGGCTGGCTTTGAACTGTAGATCCTCCTGCCTCAGCCTCCCGAGCTGCTGAGATTATAGGCGTGTGCCACTGAGCCCAGCTTGATAATCTTGTTTTAAAAATATATTTCTTATGATTAGGCAAAGCCATTCATACAAAAGAATTAAAACCATATCAATTGGAGGCAAAATAGAATTAGCTTGGGAACTTTCTGCACTGGAGTTCCTCTTCCCACTGGTAAAGGAAATTGAGAAGTACTGTGGAGTTCTCAGGGCCTGGTAAATTGGGGTGGTAACTTGGACTATGGTGTTGTCCTGATTGGACCAAAAGGAGGCTCTGCAGCATGGTGAAGGCAGCCAAGGTCATAGGATTGATTTGATTGCTAGAGTTCAGCGGAGGTTATAGCCCCCAAGGGCTTTTTGAAAATAAGTGTGTTTAAAGGGGAGTTCTTTTTGGTTTTAGTTTTATGATCCCACTTTCCTGTTTTGTGGAGGTTATCCATAGCACCTTTGAAATTTAGGTTGAGTTTTGGAATCCTCTACTGTTCTCCTTGGTCACCTTACCCTCCACTAGGTGGTTATACTGGTCAAAAGTCACTCATGTATACATAGGGATGTATATATGTTATGTGAGACTGTCCTGCATTTGAGAATCCACACCCATATCATTTTACCTTGCCATCAGCATCAGTGATCCAGAGTTGATAGTAACAGAAATTAATTGGTCTGAACTATATTTATTTATTTGTTTGCTTGCTTGCTTGTTTATCATTCATTCATTCATTCATACATACATATTGGGGATTGAACCCAGAGGCAGTTTACCACTGAAGTATACCCTCAGCCCTTCTCATTTTTATTTTTGAGACAGGGCTTTGCTGTGTTGCTAAGGCTGGTTTGAACTTGTGATTCTCCTGTCTCAGCCTCCTTAGTAGCTGGGGTTACAAGTATGCACCACCACATCCAGCTTGAGCTATCCTTTATATAAGGATAGAATTTTTAAGTTGATGATAATCTGGTTTTAGCCTTAGATTCAGGTAGTATTACTTGGGAGATCTATATCCTTGAATGAGTTTTGCCTCCTCTACAAAGAAAGCAGTTCTGTATTTACATAATAGTGCCTTTGAACAAAATGGGTGCTCAGTATCTATTAATTTATTTATAGATTTAATTCTCTATTTTGCCAAATTAGTTATTTAAAAGGTAAAACATTTATTCATTGTAGAAAATTTATAAACAATAGAAAAACACAAAGAAGAAACCATCATGCAGCAGAAATCTCTGATAATCTTAACTGCCTAGACTGAAGGTAACTCATGCTAACATTTTTGACTTTGTTTTGTGTGAATATATGTGCACTTTTTTATTTTGATAGAAGTGGAGTTGTGCTGTTCTTTTGTTTATCACATTGTGTATTATTCCCTGTCCTCACATTCAGTGGCTGCTTCTTAGAGGCTTAGTGATTTGGGAGGCAGGCTGTCTGTAGGAGCATCTCTGCTTGTCCAGGTTTTGCCACCTCCAAGGCTCAGCTTCTGCTCCTGTTCTGAGCCTTCCCTTAGCAGCTTCAGCATAGCAGCATTTATTCCCTGCTTTGTTTCAGAGGAGGATTCATGGTGCCTTCCTTCTTATGAATGTGTTCTGTCTCCTCAAGCAGAGGGTGCATTCTCTTTCTTTCTCAGCTGCTGTGGCTCTCATCTTTTTTTTTTTTTTTTTTAAGAGAGAGGAGAGGGAGGGGGGGAGAGAGAGAGAGAGAGAAAATTTATTTATTTTTTTAGTTTTT